AAAAACAAACATTTTTTACAGGTCACAACTGATACGAAAAATGGCTGAATTTAAGAAGAAATGTCGACAGTACAGTGTTGATTATTTGAAATTTGATTTGCTTGCTGCTTGATCGCTACAAAAGGAACTACTTGAGCTTAGCACCAACGAGGAACTGAAGGTTAAATTTTAGGAAAGGCAATCAAACATTTTGGCTGCAGGCAGAAATCCCCGTAAAATATACTGGGCTATGGAAAATTGTGAGAAAATTTTTGATAGCGTTTCCCTCGTCCCATAGTGTCGAAAAAAGTTTTAGTGCCGTTACCAACCTTGTAACAAAACAAGGAGCAGATTGAACATCACAGAACGGGGAGATTTGAGATTACTTCTTACAAAACTGAAGACAAATATGGATATGCTGCCAATTCATAAGTACATCCGTCTCATTAAAAGTATGAGTATGAAAAAGTATTGTTAATTTACATTTCAGAGTTCATTGTTGACTGTTTGTAATAATAAATGTTTATAATTTTGTATAACCACAAGTATTATTTTAATAAATAGGACGCAAAAAAATGTGGAAATGTACCAGCAGGGGCCTACCGAAAATAGCAAAACTGTTAAAGTGGTCCACGAGAAAAAAAAGTTTGGAAACCACTGATCTAGATATTATCAAAAAAAAAAAATTCAATATTTTTCTCGTCCAAGTGAGCCCCTTTCACCCCTTAAAAGGAATGGCGACAATTTTGAATCACCCTGTATTTATATTACACCGTCAATGTGTACTATTTAATGACGTTCTCGGTGCTTGTTTTTGAACGAATTCCTTAACTATCTTTAAAAAAATAGTTTAATAAACATGCGATCGACTTATTATTTTACATGCCTAAAGTGCCATTTCATCATATACCACAATTTCGGTTTGTCCTTCGCACAAAATTTAATTTTCCGATTTCAAATTAATTCAATTCAACTAATCACATTACTTTTAAATTAATTACTTTTTAATCGGTAGTAGGCAAGATGAACTGACTTGTACTCCATTCCACACAAGATGGCCTACCACAATCATTCAAGATCGGAACCGACCGACCGAGCGGAATAGGCAATCGTGCATTTTCGGAAATGTGAGTCACGTATATATGAACGCGCGCTTCATTTTCACAAACATTTGCTGAGAAAAGCGCCATGCCAGCTTCGGCTTACTCGTCAATCGTGAAAAAATTATATCTGCTGTTAAAATAGGATCCACGACATGGAAGCGATGTCGACGGGCTGTTTTAGGCTTTTTTTAACGACTTCCGTGGAAAATAAAGATGATACAGAAGAGGTAAATCCATTTAATACGTTTTAGTAGCAGTGCTGGTGCTTTGTCCGCCATTGTAAATCTCGCCCTGTCAACTTCTTTTATTTGTGTTTTCATCTGTCAGCCGATTAATGGCGCTTAATTTAAATTATTTTTTGGTTTCCAGAAACTTTTGAGGAGTTACCAGTTTTTCCAAAGTGTTCGCGGTGACCTTAGTGATAAAGATGCTCACGAGGCCCTGAACAAGGCGTTACTCAAGGAGAAAGGTTACGAGGAAGTGTCGTTTGGACTGTTGGTGTCAATGTTAACCGAGCCCCACAATGCGGCCCGAAGTTACAGAGACTTAACGCTTATTACTAGGGATGGTTTTGGTCACGTAGTTACCAATCTTTCCCAACTCGTGTTGGATAAGTATTTGCGGTTTACGGACATAGTGCGGCAGCAGCTGTTATGGCTTCTTCGTGAAATGATCAAGAACAATGTAAACAGTGTGGATAATTTGTGTTGGAACCTCATGCGGCATGCTGCAGGGGGAGATATCAGCCCCAAAAACTTGAACCTAGTGGAATCCTTGCTCGATGTTTTCATCGAGTTTCGAAGTTGGTTAGACAAATTTCCCATTTTAATAGCGTCAGTTGTTTACACTTATCTGAGGTTAATTGAAGACCATCATGCACCTTTCTTGGCCGCCCTGAGACAAAAGGAAGTCAACTTTGTTATAAGTATTATGCGAGAACATTTTCAAGAGTGCCTGGTCATTGGACGGGATCTAGTGAGGCTGCTGCAAAATGTTGCTAGAATAGCAGAATTTGACTTATTATGGAAGGATATGCTTTTAAATCCAAAGACTTTAAGCCCTACTTTCTCAGGTAAGTTTCGTTTGCAAATTTGTACTCTTTTCCATATTCTGTTTATAAATACAGTAACTTCTCGATACTACACCCTACACTACTACTGGTTAAATGGGTATTTTTTAAAAGCAATTTTTGTTACATTATATATATGTTTCAATACATTTTCGAATTAAGCTTCAAAAGTTGAGCTGAACTTATCGTCAAAAGCTAAAAAGTTTCTTTACAAGTGCAAAGAGTTTCGCTTAACAGTCAGGCACAATTTTTAAGGGGAAAAAGTGTTTTCAAAATGTTGCTGTGGGTTTCACAATTTCCTAAACCTTCTCTGTTTGTTGTTCATGGAATAAACGAAAAAAATGCATTTGGTTGGTAAAATTTATTTTCGTTTCAATCCATTTATGACTTCACCGAACTGACTTGCAAAGATATGTGATTTTCCTTAAGAATTCTTATCACTCTTACACTTAAGCAGCGAAATATTTTTTATTGTTCATAATGTACGCCACGCTGATGTTTTATTGCGACAAATTGCAAGAATTTTATTTAGATAGTGAGAACATTGACTGTTTTGTCAACAGCCTAATTTCTAAAAACTCCGTCCTAATTTAGAAACATAAGTAGGTTTCATTGTTCTCTTTTGATCTGAAAAGAAGAAATTCGGACGCTTACACTCGAACGAAATATTGGTTCTTTCATTTACTTAAAATATTCCGATTTATTTTCCTGACTGCGTGTACTTGTTATGATATTCCTATCTTTCCTGGGTCTCAGCCAAAGTGTGAAGTAAAAATTTTGAAACATCGTTTGTTTCATTACGTTTCGGCGAGACAACAGCGCCATCATCAGATTTAAAATTTTACACACACTACAAACACCAATTCACAATTAAAACATGTATAAAAATTATAATTTACAAGGTGTTAAAACATTCATCAGTTTTTGAGGGAAAAAAAATGTTTTTTTTTGGGGGAGCAAAACACCGGAAAACTCATACTACGTAAACTTAGAAAAAAAGTTAAAACTGCCCTTAGTACAACTTTTTGCGTTGAATCCCATAACCTATCACTCGTTATCATAGTCAACTTGGTTTACGAGATAAAAAATAAAATTATGGTTTTTTAAATGGTAGTCATAGTTGGCTGTGGACTTTTTTTAAAATCCTTATTTTGTTCTAAATTTGACGATATAATGGTTTGTATGTTTTTCTCCTTTTGTTGCCGTAAAACTTCAAAAGAAGATAAAAAATATCTAGTAGGCTATGGAAACAAGAACTATATTATCACACAAAGCACAAAACAATAATGAATCGTTTAAATTAAATGTTAAAATTGACTTCCGTTTTCGTACAGGCATTTTTGGTCATCTTCACATTCAACTGGTGAGTTGTGTATCATGTTGAAAATATGCCAATTTTGATACGATGCTAACGGAGAACTATTCAACATGTCTTCAAGTTCATTTGGTAAAAAGTGTAAATATATTTCCATATTTAAATTGTTATTATAAAAGAATGGACCAATAAGTTTATCACTAAAAATGCCTCACCAGATATTCACAAAAAAAACACGTTGATCTCGCCTATTTTCAATTAGATGATGATTTTAATTAGCGCAGTAAACATGATTGTGTCTCTTAATTATTTCATTTTTGTCTTATGCTTTGTGTGATAATATAGTACTTGTTTCCATAGCCTACTACACATTTTTTATCTTCTTTTGAAGTTTTACGGCAACGAAAGGAGAAAAACATACAAACAGTTATATCGTTAAATTCAGAAAAAAATAAGGATTTTAAAAGACCCACAGCCAACTATGATTACCATTTCAAAAAACATAAGTTTATTTTTTATCTCGTAAATCAAGTTGACTCTGACGAGTGCTAGTTTATTGAATTCAACGCAAAAAGTTCTACCAAAGACAAAAGTAACTTTTTTTTTCTAATTTGAGCAGTTTACGAATTATATGATAATTAAAAAAGGGATATTTCTAGGATATTTGCCTTTTCAGAATATTTCAGGAACCAAGTCGGGTACCTAAATTTAGAAAACGAGGCAATCGAATTCTGCCCAATTTTGCCCATTTAACGGATTCTCTATCTTTAAAATGTAGAAGTTACCCATACAAAGATTCAGAAAATGGCCACCCTGTATATCACTACCATATATTCCAGAAATCAAAACCCAAAACTGACAAAATGTATATACCAAATACTGTATATAGAGTGAATTGTTTAGAATGTGATAATACATATATAGGACAAACTAAACTATATTTAAAAAAGAGAATGTACGAACATAAATACAGTCTGGGAAATACTAGTGAAAATAAAACAGCATTAACACAACATGCACACCAAATGTTACATAATTTTGATTTTGACAACGCAGATA